AAAAAGAGGGACAACTGTAATACTCTGACAATACAGATTTAATAAAAAATTTAAAAGAAAGGTAATTCCTGACCTTTACTTGTGGTAAATAAACAATAAAAACATAAAGCACATATGTATACACGTCGAAATCGGGACTTTTTTCCGGGTGGCGGGGATCTAAGGGGGCAAAAAAGAGGGACAACTGTAATACTCTGACAATACAGATTTAATAAAAAATTTAAAAGAAAGGTAATTCCTGACCTTTACTTGTGGTAAATAAACAATAAAAACATAAAGCACATATGTATACACGTCGAAATGACGGGACTTTTTTAAAATAAATACTGTAAATGGGAGATGGCGACGTAACCAGGAAATGACGTACGTCGAGTCTGACATAACCCAAGGACTGCCTATATAAAAAGCCTAAGCGACCGTTTTGACCGAACGACCAGTCCACCAGTCGCTGCCATCTGACCACCAGAGGGCAGATGCTCAACACAGGAGCTGCCCCCTGGTGATCAGTGCACTCCCGCAGCCAACCTCCCACGGCCCCTCCCCGCTCCCAGCCCTGATCGCGGTCAGACCTAGGGACTCCAACCGGTGCATGAATTCGTGTGCCAGGCCTCTAGTAATTATATAATCAATTCTCATTCAAAGGAAAGTAATTGATGGAGTTACCAAAAATCCTCCTAGAATTTGAGGTAATATGCATGGTAATCTACAAAGTCAGACAGCTAATTTTTTTGTATATTACATTAAAATATAAGTTTTCATTTTATCTCTCTTCCTCTGAAAATATATATATTTCATAAGTTAAAAAAAAGGAAGAAGCACAAATTAACCATATCACAATCTATGGCTCAAATATGCTAGGGGTTTGTAACATATTAAATGTACAAAAACCATAGTCTGTACAACACAAAGAGTTAATTTCATACAGTTGGCAAGTTTAAAATCAACTGGGACACTGGGAAATCCCAGGACAGAGTGCAGACGAGATAAATGAATCTAACTACACTATAAATGTATGATATAACCTTACTGAACAGGGTAAAGGAAAAAGGTGCTAACCTAACTAACTTTGGAACACTGTGTTCTATAAGGCTAAAGACAAAAGAATGGAATTATACCCTGTACTCTAGTTGGTAACTTCATTCCTCACAGGGTACTAGTGAGCAATTCTGAAACTAATTTACACCCGTAAAATACACAATTATTTGGTAATTAAAGGTTAAATACATACTTTAAAAAAATATAGAATAGTCTAACCCATATTAACTTAGAGTTAGCTTCAAAAGAGGAAATATTATAACAAAACTTACTTCTGTAGTATTTTACTATTTATACAAATGTTGTTTTAAGCCTCACAACAACCCTGTGAGGTAGGTAGGAAGGCATTATACCCATTTTACAGCTGTGAAGACCTAGGATCAGAAAGATTAAGTCATTTACAAAGTTATGTGGCGAGAAAGAGCCACATCAAGGAATAGAATCCAGTTATTTGACTTCAAAACTGTGCATCATTCCCCAACATACTTAGTAAAAACACTAAAGCAAAACAAACCCAGATGGGAGTGTACGTGTATTCATGTACTATACCTCCCCTTACAGAATTATGTCCCTGAAATGGGAATAAAAATAGTCTTTCTTTCCAACCAAGCTAATTATTTCAGAGCCTTGTCTTTTATTAATCTGGATTAATCTCCAATACAGAAAAGTTTCTACTTTAGCACTCGGTTACTCTTTCATTATTTGACAAACATAATGTTTCATAAACCAAAATTTAAAACAACAGGGGCTTCTGTGAAGGAAACTATGTACAGATAATTTTAATTTTAATTAACAAGTCTTTAATCACACACTTATTAAGCTTTGAATTTGTATGTTTCTTTTTTTCTACAACGAGGATAACATGTTCATTTAAATCTCACTTGGTCAAACCAAAGGAACACAGCCTTGATGGCAATCCAAACTACGGCTACCTACTGCTGTGTGCTTTCAACACAAATCCTGACACAAAATGCAGTGATATCTTGTTCCAACATGTCTACGGATGCAAAGCACTCCTGCTAGTAGCGATGGTTCACTGCCAAAGTGGGTCTGGGGGAGAGAGACAATGTGGGTGACAGCATGGAAAGCAGTTTTATGAAGCCTGGACACACCTCCCCAAGCCCTCACCATCACACCACCTGCCCCTCTCCGACAAGAAGCACTGAATCAGAGAGGCGGTAATACTGCCAGAGCCTTTTCATTCATATTACTTCAACCCTAGTGCTTCACAATAAATGTTAATCATCCACCCTGGCTTGCCCACACATTTGCTCACTGGAATTGAACCATTCCAGCCAAAAACCTAGACCAAAGCAAGCTCTTCCCCATCTGGAACATGTGGCAAATGCTTACTACAGATCTAGTTTTTCTCTACTGACTTTGAAACCTGCACTGAACCATGCCTTTGCCAGTTTGGCTCAGTGGATAGAGCATTGGCCTGCGGACTGAAGGGTCCTGGGTTCAATTCCGGTCAAGAGCACATATCTGGGTTGCGGGCTTCTTCTCAGCCCAAGCCCTGGTCGGGGCCCGTGCAAGAGGCAACCAACCGATGTTTCTCCTGTCTTTCCCCGTCTCTTCCACTCTCTCTAAAAATCAATGGAAAAATATCCTTGGGTGAGGATTTAAAAAAAAAGAAGAAAGAACCTGCACTATACTAAAATCTAAACTCTTATTATAAAATAGTTATTCACGGGGGGGGGGGGGGGGGGGGAATAACCCTCACACGCGCTAAAACAAGATAGACATAAAAATCATTCAGAGTTAAAATACTGTTCAAAGCAAATCACAATAGAGATTCATTTTTAAGAGTTCTAATCAAAATAATACTCAAAGTAAACTAACCTCAGATAGCTACCAAGTATCGACTCATTTTGCAAACATCCTGCTATATTATGTGAACGCTTGACCACTCTTCCTAAGGGTCATGACCTGAACATCAGTTTAAAAGTAAATTATTTTTTCAGATGAGGCCATAAACTGCAGTTTTTTAAAAAGGTTATGCACGTGCATAGAGCTACTAAAATTTGGAACCACAACCTCACACAGGCAGAAGGGATCCCATAGGTCTGGGCCCTCTTGCCTTCAGCCACAGGAACATGCACACTCACCTCACCACAGGACAACCACTGGCGATCTTTCACAACCAAGAACAAATACCCAACAGTACGGCCCTTTTGTTTTCCCACCCTTAGCAGCAAACAAAGAATTTGAGATATCAAGCTGTCAAAACTAAATGTGTACAAAACCCAATTTCAACCACTTCCTCTAACAGGCATACTCCTTTCACAAAAACTTCACCAACTGAAACACGCATTTGACAATAATTAAGACTTCCCTTACACCTGCGTCACCCATGCTAAACCTCACCAAGCAGTGTACTCTTTTTCCTTTCATCATTCTCACAGTTCTCTACAATTCATATCTCTTTAACATCCAGTGACCAAAACTGGACATGCTACTCAAAAAAGGAGAAAGCTATTGCAAAGAATAGAGAAAAAATTATATCCATGACCTTGGATGCCGTATTCATTTAAAAATATTTTAGCATGATGTTGACTTTTGACTGACTCATATTCGGCTTGTGGTCACCCATGACTGTGGCTTCCCTCCCTCTTTATTTATACCTAGCCTATCCTTCTCCATCCTATATTTACATGGTTGCATTTTTCCCTCCACATACCACCTTATATTTAATTCCCTAAATTTTGTAGTTTTCATAGATCCATTTCCCCATATCACAGTACTTTATAGAAATGTTTAAATCTGCAATTTATGAGAACTACTACTTATGCCTTAAAAATATCATGACTATAGTCAACCCATCATACACTGTAATTTATAACTAATAATGGCACTAAAGAGAAGACCACACAATGCCTGCTGGAAACCTACCTCCACTGGACGGTCACTCTTTACCAGCGCTATCCGTGCCCTTTGCAAGGAACCATCCATCAGCTTGTGAAGTCTCAAAATTAACTTTCTCAGCCCCATCTGCTTCAGTGCTTTGTCTACAAATGGCCGATAAATAGAAGTCAGACAATGTCTGCTACAGCCGGCCTCGGCGCTGCAGTCCGGCGTTCCCCAGCCAACAGAGTCCTCCTCCGATTCGAGCCTCTCAAGCCTCTTGGCGGGGCCGTCCTGCGACGGGAAGCAGAAAGTGTTGTCGAGGGGCTTGTTTGTTGGCGCCCTTGGATTAGAGGTCTGTTCTTCACTCTCATCCGAGCTACTTTCCAACTCTCTCAATTCTCCTTCTGTGTCATCTCCCTCATCTTCCGGCTCATTGCCTTTGGATGATCTAGGGGAAGAGATTTCAAACACTGGCCAGCCAATGTCTGATAAGTTCTGGATGCCCAAAACGGTGCCCATAATCCTTAATTTCTGATTTAAGTCTTTTGTGATGTTTAACCACAAGCAGAGTGCCTGCACTCTGTCCTGGAAGTCCTTTGCAGCATATTTTTCATAGTCCTTCTGAAGAGCTTGCAACGATGGATAAAGTGCTTCTATGTACTCTAGCAGCTCCATTATCCGCTTTACCTGCTCAAATGACACCCTCTGGCGCTGGAGATGCTCGTGGTACGTGGGATAACCCACAATCCTTGTTCCGTGAGGGGCTGGGCACTGTCCTTCCACCGGGGCACCATTGCAACCAGCTCCATTTCTAACAAAGGCAATGCTCCCATAATTGACTTTGAAAGTAAGGATTTCATTGATAATATCTGGTATGGCTTGACGGGCTGTATATAAAAAGAGGTCCTGGTCGTTAATGGTCCGTCCCGCATGCCAGGCTTGTAGCTCTAACCAGATGAGCTCATTCGACCGGTTGAATGAGAAAGCAGATGTATTTTCCTGTCCTCTTTGCTCCCTGTCCTTCTTCTTTGAGACTGAGGTAAGCTTTAGCAGAAGTCGTAAAGTTTCAAAAAACTTCAAGCGATCTGCTGGACAGTCGGTCCTGGAAGTCTGGCGTGCAGTTCTCGCGATCGGCATGGGCACAGACACGGGAAGCTTGGCGTTGCTGCAGCCGAGACTGAGGTAAGGCTTATTGAGATCCACATCTGGGATCGGCTTTTTGGGCAGAGGCCCGCTCACGGAGTCCAACATGAAGGAGCACTGCACGTTTTTCTTATGATCGCGCTCTGTCGTCCTAATGGCCGCTCGGATCTTTTTCTCCCCGATTTTCCCAGTGTCTTTATGTGGAGGCTGGTTCAATGCATTTGTTTTTTCTATTAAAAAAACAACAACAACATTATATTATTCTAAATATGAAGTTACTCTCAATACTTTCAATAAAACTGATCTTCACATGCATTTATATTTTCAGGCTGTTATTAGAGAAAAAAAAATCATACCATATGCTGAAAATTAAAAGAACCAAAAATCATATAACATTTCTCAGTCTCTCAATCTACAAAACGGGAAAATTGTGCTTGCAACTCCTATTCTAAAATAGCATGAACCAACGAGTGAAGAAAAAGTAGACATGCTATTGCCATCTCACTTTCCTACCACAAAGCAAGTATTAATTCTGATTCATTAGATGCTGCTTCAATGATACTATCTGAGATAAGGAACTTCTCCAGGCATTTGAAAATTTTCTTTTCAGAAAATGGATAAGGATTAAATTTAAAGATGAGAAACTACAATAGAAACCTATTCTCATTTCCAAAGGGGATAAGGACAGTTTAACATCCTATGGCAAATAAACTTTTAAAGAAAGTAAAAAATCATCTTCCCTAAGGGAAAGAAAGACAAGTTACACTTAGGAATTCTTCCTTGGATATGATTTACTCAAGCAAACAATACAATCAAGCCCATTTCTCTTGCCTCCTTCTTTCTCGAGGAGGGGCTGTGACAGGGAAACTCGCCCTGTGAGGGGCTGTGTGGCAGACAGAGAGGGAGTCCGGTCGAAGAGAGAGGAAGACACAGAAGAAAGAGGAATGGGAAGGGTCTGGTCCCAGCAAGGAGAACATGCGATGGGGAAGCTTCTCAGATGAGAAGAAAGTGAAACCCTGTCCTGTGCAGTAACAGATGGATGAAGCCGGGGCTGCACAGTCAGTTTCAGGACCAATGGTTTGCTGAAATTCACAGGGAAATTCTCATGTCTAGGCTTCGGTGACCGGAGGCTGGTGTGAGAAGTCGGGCTCGGGAAGCAGCAGGCCGCATGGTTTGACCATCTACCTCAGGAAAGAACGGCAGGAGGAAGGAAGAAATGGAAACAGAACACTCAGCTTCTAGGAGAAACGAAGAGTGCAGGGTCTGTCCGCGGTATGAGGGTGGTGTACCAGCCAGGCGCTGCGCTGCGTGGCCAGGAGGGCCCACGTCCTAAGGCAGCTGCACTGTCACGGACGAGAACTCAGGTTGCAGGCGGCCAGGAATCCTGGGGAAGAAAGCCTGGCTCTGTCCCTCCCCACGGCCCACTGCGCCTGACATGTCTGGAAGACAGAATCCAGTCCGTCAGCCTGGGAGGGGCAGAGGACAGGAAGGCCATCTATCTCATTCGCCCGAAGCCACCCTGCGTGAGTATGTGGATCCATCCACGCTTGGCCTCTTCCACAACCTTTTATTCCTTTGTACTCAAAAATATACAAATGACTTTAGCAATTGCTCAGCAAAAACCTTTCTATCTGAGGAGACTTAGTTTCTCCTTTACTAACAAGGCAGCTAATGGTCAGGGCACATATGGGAGACAACCAATCGATGTTTCTCTGTCACATCAATGTTTCTCACTCTCTCTCTCTCCCTCTCTCTCTCTCTCCAAAATCAATAAAAACGTATGTGCAGGTGAGGACTAATTTAAAAAGGTATTTACAAATATGTAATACCTTAGTCAATAAAGAAACATAAATCGATCAATCAATCAATCAATAAGGTTAGTTATGTGCCAGAAGGGCCATGCCCGCTCATGTGGATACTTCAAGTACAAGACTTACCTTTCAAATTGGAGCGACTGACAGGCCTCCCGACATTGTTCCTCTGGTGTTTGGTTGACAGGCGTTTCATCTGCCGAGGTGTGCTGGGGGGAGAGGCGCCAAGAAGGTTCTCTGTGTTAGCTTCATCTGAAAACTCCTCCACGTCCGAGTCCGAATTCTTGCTAGCCGAGTCGCCCAGGGTGCACTCGGGCCTGTGAGAGATGAGCAGCAGAGAAGATATTCAGGCGCAGAAAGTGAGCGTAAGCTCCTTAGACTCCCTGTAGCGCTCCTCCCGCCGCACGCGGTGCTCCTCGGCACTGCCCCCCTGGCGGAGCTCCCCACAGCTCCCACACTCCCGGGAAGCAAGGACCGGCCACACGGGCGGAAACCCTGTGCGGTTGCTGTTGTCTGTAGAACTCTTTCTAACATAAATCAAGTTTAACACTAAAACTTACAGATTCAGGAAGAAACAGCAAAGAACAAAGAGCACAGCGGCCCGAGGCAGAGCCTCTCTGTGAAGCACACACGGCAGCCTAGGCCACTTCCAGCCAACAGCCCTGGTCCCACGGGCAAGCCCCCCTTCTATGTCCTGGACCGCACTCCAGTGCACGGGCGGGCGAGCTGTGGGGAGGAGGGTGCTGTGGAAGAGGAAAAAGGAATTCGCTTGTCTTCCCCTTCAAATGCAATTCCTCACTAACTTGTTCTCTGCAAACACTTCCTGCCTATCCTCTGTCCCAGTCAACTTCTCAAATAATAATAAAGTTCTGTTTCTGCAAAGCTAACAAAATAAACTGAGAACAAATACAATTCCCAAACAGCAAACTAAAAGGAATCAGTCATCAAGTTCCTTTCAAATCTAGTATCGTCAGTCTACACCACTCTGAATATTCTTTATAAAATGTTTTCTATTTTGTAAACATAACTCTCAACTATCCGAAATATCCAGTGGTTTTATTTTCCCGGCAGTTTATATCCTGATATAAAATCAAATCTATTCCAAAATCATGAGAAAAAAATAAAAACCACTCTAAAGTGTATGATACCATTATTATTGAATTGGACTGACAAAACTTCAGAAAATAAATTATCTTTCAACCATAAAAATGCTGCAGAATTATACAAATTTACAGTACTGAAATCTGTAAAGAATCGCTTTGATGGGTCAAAACTTGATTTTTAATCAGGTAAGATCGCTCTGAACACTTTAGTATTCATACCATACATGTGCACCCACAATGAGACATATAAGTGAAATACCCTGAAAGCTAACTAAAACAAAGTAAACCATGAGAAACATTAGAAATAAGTTAAATGCATCTACTCCCCAGGCTAACTTATTATTTAAGTCTCACAAAGTCATACAAAAAACAATATAATACAGGTTATCTTAAAATTCTTTATACCCATGGCTTCTACACGCACCACTACAGCTGGCTCAGCTGATGAAAGGACCTGCTATAAATCAGCGGTTCTCAACCTGTGGGTCGCGACCCCTTTGGCAGTTGAACGACCCTTTCACAGGGGTCGCCTAAGACCATCCTGCATATCAGATATTTACATTATGATTCATCACAGTAGCAACATGACAGTTATGAAGTAGCAACGAAAATACTTTTACGGTTGGGTCACAACATGAGGAACTGTATTTAAAGGGCCAGAAGGTTGAGAACCACTATGCTATAATTGATACAAGGTCACTCACTTCCTTCCCATTGGTTACCAGCACAGGTTTTGGAATGATTAACAGCAAAGACTTTGTGGTGTGAGGGACTTAGGTCAAATCCTGCGCGTCTGGCTTACTAGCTGTGTGGGCTTTGGTCAAATTATTTAAAATCTCCACATTGCACATTTACAAAATAAGAATAAATACTTAGACTCCAGACCAGAAGGTTGAAATCCAATAATGCATGCTTAATTATAGGAGTAATAATAGATGCGGCTTCACTAAATGATTGATACTACTCATATTACAGCCCTTAGAAATCACTGCACTCACTCACCACCCATTGAGAGAACCCGAGTTCTTTAAGCATCTGCTTGACATTGAGAGAGAAGTTTGCTGCCCTGGCCTGGAGTTCAACTGGTTGAAGCGTCATCCCATACGCCAAAAGGCTGCATTTGATCCCCAGCTATAGCATGTGCAAGGGCACCTGACCGATGTTTCTCTCTCACGTTGCGTTTCCTCTCTCCCTCTCTCTCTCTCACCGCCCTCTCCGCTCCTCTCTCTCTAAAATCCATAAACATATCCTCTGGTGAGGGGGAAAAGGTTAAAAAAAAGAAAAGAAACAGACTCACAGATGCAGAGAACAGGCTGACTGATACCTGTCAGAGAGGAAGGGGGCTGGGGGGCTGGGTGAAAAGGTAAAGGGATTAAGCAAAAATCACACACTCATAGACACAGACACCAGGCTGGTGATTACTAGAAGAAAAGGGGGTGGGGGAGGTAAAAGAGGATAAAGGGGGATGAATGGTGATGGAAGGAGACTTGAGATAGTGAACACAATAAAATATAGGTGATGTATTATAGAATTGTACACCTGAAACATATAATTTTCTTAACCAGTATCATCCCAATAAATAAAATAAACATTTTTTAAAAATTTAATAAAATTCTAGGTCTTTCCTTTTATTTTTCAAAGAAATGATATTTAATAGGAACAAAATAAATTTGGTGCAAAGTTAAAAAAAAGAATTGCATGGAAGTGACGATGAATGCAGTAATAAGAACACATTAAAATAGATAAAGTATAATACATTTCATCCTTCCTTATTTATTCTGCATCACAGAAAAGGAGGTAGGGAAAACTGCCATGTGGTACTGCCAGCCTCTTCACTTATAATTCATAATTAAAAAGAATTTTAGGACAGGCATTACACAAAGGTGAGGCTATATATTTAAAACTTTCTTAGGATTTACTTAACTCAGTCAAGACGGCATTCACCTTGTTGGAAATATTAGCTTACATTCCATCGAAGTAACTTAGTAACTTAATTACATGTCAGAACAAAGGCCAACATTACTTAAAGGAATTTTAAAAAAGAAAAGTCTAGCACCCTATTAATTAAATTCACAAAGTCTGACATCTTATCAAAAATTACCAAAGAAACAGGAAGATATGGCCCAAACCAGGAGAAAAACCCCAAGAAATATACCAGGAATGACTCAAGTGGAAACTATAGACATGAAAAATCTACCTGAAATAAAAAAAACACGCTGTATGGGATTAAAACAGATTAGACACAGCAGGAAAAAAGACCAGTCACCTTGAAGACATAGCAACAGAAACTGTCTTTAAAAAAAACAGAGAAAAAGATTCAGATGGAAAAGAACAGAGCATCAGTAATCTATGGGGCCATATTAAGCAATGTAATGTATGTTACTGGAGTCTACAACAAGGAAAGGAAGGCATAGAAAAAAATAATCTGTGAAGAAATAAGGGCTGAATAATTTCCCAATTTAAAGAAAACCATTAAGCTCATAGATCCAAGAAGCTCAACAAACTCCAAGCAGAACTATAAGAAAACTGCCAGTTTTTTATTATGCATAATCAAATAGCTAAAAACCAGTGAAGAGAAAAAAATCCTAAAGACAGCCAGAGAAACACAACATAGTTCGGGAGCCTTAGCTAAGAAACAATACATAATGAGAAGTGGGAGGGGAAAAAAAATCAAGCAAAAGTTTATTCTTTCTTCTTTTAAAAAAACAAAACCATTTACACACAAAATCTAGGAAAATAAATACTAGTGGTAAGTTCAAAAGAACTTGCATCATTCCAATTAACTAACCAAAAGCATCCAAAACCTCATTTGGTATTAACTCATGTGAGCTGAGCTAATGTGGTCAGCTGACTGGTCCAAATGTTTCCATGGATACCAGTTACTTTGGATGAGGAAAGTGGTACAAGGTCTACATCAGTTAGCTGTGACATCTGCCTTACTTGTGTTTAAAAACATACAAAGGTGAAATGTCTTTCTGGTGCCAAACTTCTGACAGTCACATAAAACAATATTTCACTCTTCTAACAAAACTTTGCTAAAGAATTATTCACTTGACATAAAACCTGAGAAAAGTATGTCTTGAACTTAACCCAAGGGGGGCTGGAGTAGTTTTCAAATTTTAAAAAAAAGTGTGGTGACAAGACAAAAATTCAAGCTATGGGGGGCGGGGGCGGGCGGGGGTTAAATAGTTCTGCTCTGACATAGCAGATAAACCGCATGGCGACTGAAATAGGTCGTCTATAAAATGAAGCTGGATTAGCTGGGTTTGAAAATATCTGTGGTTTTGCAAAAGCCCTTAAAATTAACTTCATTAAAAGCTCCTTACAAATAAAATACGTTATGCACTTATGAAGTATAGTACAGTCCTCACCTGGGTAAGATTCTCTCTGCTCTTCCACCTCCCCATTAACCTAGTCTCTATTAAGCAGTCATTAAAGGGAGATTTCTGCTTTGGGGGGAAACAAAAGGAGAGGAAGGAAGGCAGAAGGGGTGGGGTTTCAAGGTTTCTTTTCGTAAGAACGGGTATAGTTTGCCTGGCCTGCAATATAAATCAAGGGAGCTTAGCTAACGCTGAGGTTGCATGGTTGGTTCGTAGTGTAAGTGCCAATTAATAAATCAGCTAGTTGATCTTCACATCAGCCTTAAGTTGAACAGTTATCAGTTAACCTCCAGGTGAGCTGCTGTCAAACCTTAAGCTTCTCCAACATTCTCTGTTAAACTTTCGCATTGATTCAGAGTGTAGGGCAATGATGGCGAACCTATGACACGCATACTCATTTTTTTGGTTGATTTTTCTTTGTTAAATGGCATTTAAATATATAAAATAAATATCAAAAATGTAAGTCTTTGTTTTACTATGGTTGCAAATATCAAAAAATTTCTATATGTGACACGACACCAGAGTTAAGTTAGAGTTTTTCAAAATGCTGACACGCCGAGCTCAAAAGGTTCGCCATCACTGGGTAGGGTCTTTACAAACCTACCTAGTGAGTCTTGTTATTTTTCAGGATAGACAGACACTCAGACTCTGTGTTCTTGTTTTTTTACTGAAATTCATCCTTTTAAAAAAAATACGTTTTTATTGAAATTTTTTTGAGAGGAAGGGGGATGGAAAGAGGGAGAAGGAGAAGGGGAGGGGGAGGGGGAGGAATTTGAGAAGCATTGATCAGCTGCATCCCACACACACCCCACCCAGGGATCAAATCCATAACGTGGGTATGTGCCCTGACTGCGAATGGAACCAAAGACTTCCGGTGCACGGGCCAACACTCAACCAACTGTGCCACACCAGCCAGGGCTAAAATTCATCTTTTTTTAAAGCAAAGGTAGATATTCTTTTAAAAGATTTCCTATGAAAAGGAACAAGAAATGATCCCAAATCGACTGGATGTTCCACGCCACTGTTTGTTTCTCCTGTGACTGA